ATATCGCTGAAGAACTGTATATTTCTTATTTATTAGATGCTTTACTTCACAATCTATCCATGGTGGTATATTGATGTCTAGAACTGTCTTTTTAGCTACGAATTAGGTACTATTGTCTTAAAAAGATTGTCTTTTTAGGTACTATTGTCTTAAGAAACAGGTCTTTCCAAAGACCTTTTCCTTTTAAAGTCGTATATTGTTTGTCTTACCGCTTTTGCTCTTTGAAAACAAAGTTTGATGTCGAATTCGATAAGGTAATGATCAGATGGAAATATATTAGTTGGATTTATACAGTTGACGTTAGTGATGAGCTCCAGAATATTGCTGAAAACACAGTCCAGTTTATTCCCATGCAGATGTGTCAGACCATTGGCCATTTGATACAGGAACTGGTCTGCAATAATCTCGCAGAAAAGCTCTTCTTTGAAACCGCCTTAAGAATTTGGAGAAGGGAAATCCAATGACCAATCAATGTTAGGTAGATTGAAATCACCGACCAGAACAAGCTGTCATGACTCATCTAAACGATCAAGAGAAGCTCTCAATTTTGTTAATATATCTTCATCAGAGTTTGGTGGTCTATAGAATGAATTTTGAACAATTGGCGGGATAAAGTTCAATCATTATTAATTCACTTTGAACTCCTTCAAATGACGCTCTTCTAGATGAGTGAATTTCGTTCTTTACAGCGATAAGAACTCCACCACCTCTCATGTTATCGTTTGGGCGAACCACCAGTTCCATACTACACAAATGATTCGGAATTGTGCAATGCAATGATAAAATGAGCAATTCAAGGAAAACAAGATTTACGAATTTGTCCATGAGATGAGTGTCTTGTTGCAGTAGCGAAAGAATGATGTGAAAGCTAGCTATGTATTCTGGCTTACGGTGAAAGGCCCAACATATATGAATCTTACTTCTTTCATGACCTACAACAACAGCAACAATACTGTAACAAGAAAGGTGGTAGAACCATGAACGTGCAACTGGCTAGTACAACTGTTGACAAGACCATTTAAATTGTAATTGTCTTTTGGTTCATACACACTTCATTATCACATGGTTTTTCCTTTGCAAAATCATTGGCAAAACAGCGACTTCCTGTCAAATTCATAAACTGACTTGCGTACAAATGCAAAATTGTTTCATCCATATCAAAATGGATTTATTTTACATACGACTGATTTTGCCCAATGACCAACAACATTTTCTTTAAAAAGAAAAAGGTTAATTTAAAAAGAAAAAGGCTTTTGTGTATGTATAAATAAACGAGTTTACTGGTTTTACTGTTGACTTGATGTCAGCCCAGTTCACTGAGCACTACATGTCAGGTCCAGGTTTAGTCTAAAGTGTTTTTTAGCCTGCAGCAATCTCCGTTTTTTCGGTTCTTGTTCTATGACCTAGGAGGGAAATCAGCACTGTCATCTTTGGCTTAACTTTGACTTTGTTATTTTGCAACCATGCACATTAAAGCTGTATTTTCTGCACATTTCACAGCCCACACATGTATATGTCTTTATATACCACAAACGACCTACAATTCTTCACAAATGAGACTACAAGACACAATGCTTGCAATAACTACCACCATTGCTTTGAAGGGAGGAGGCACGACAAACTCCTGAAGGTATGAATTTGCTGATTTTATAGATAAATATGCAAGTCTCAATATATTTTGTGAAGTGTGTAGGCTTAGGGATTATAAACCAAACTTCTTGAATTACAAACTAATTAAAGTACTGTTTGTGCAGAAATGCAATGTTATTTAAGACAATTTTTACATTGTAGTTTAGTTATTCCGCATAGCCAAAACACACTCATGTTGTTTTTTATTGTTTTTATTTGTGTATTTAAAAATGCCGCTTGCTGTAAAATTACATACCGCAAAAGCTCAACCTACATAACTCAGTTATCTGCTAGTAGATAACTTTGTTATATGTACTGTAGGTTGTTTGGTTTCCATAATCAGTAGGGTATAATAAATGTATTTATTTTCAAGTAGGCCGTTTGCTGAGGCACCAAAAAGTGCCTAGAAAACAATTTTCATTTAGCATGTGTTAGAACTGAAATATTTTTACATTACTATTTTCGAATATGCTGAACACAATTCCGAAGAGTTCCCGCTCCGTAGACCCGCAGTATTTTTTTAATTGCCATTTATATTTTCATTTATTCAACAAACAACATGCCATCGCCCGCCATTTTGAATTTCGTATAACATCGGCCTAAGTCCTCTTATCTCGTCCCCAGCCTTTCCATTTCGTGACCGCGTTACGATTTAGATCGATGTTTTTTAGTGGTTTTCTTTTTTAACCTTTTTGGCTAATATTAGCTAGTGTTTTTCGTTACGAGTTTATAGGCCACATATTTGACTGAATTTTATCATTTATTTTCTCTTATAATTATGCTTTATTATACCATAATACAAAACATTTCCATATTTTATAATCCTATAGATTAGCTCAAAAGTAACTTCTGCGTTAAATGAAACAATGTCAATGTTTGACTGGTTATCAGGGCAACCAGGAACATGCGTACCTACAATTAACAACCCCCATGGCTAATATTGGACCAGGAGGTTGGCCATTTCTTTACAAAATATCATGATGTATGGAATTATTATTTGTTACAACCTATAGCTATCAACATGAACACCTTACAAAAATATGTATAGTTTCAGCTCGTAGCCAGCGTAATAATTTGCAACACCTACAGGCTACATAAAAAAGGTCTAATTTTCATCATCGCTATTGTCACTGGAACTGCATTCGTCAGGCGAATTATAGGTGTCAGAATCACTCTCTAAACTGTCCGTAATGTTCGTCGAGCTGTTTTTGCAGCCAGTGCATTTGCAGAGATCGGAGCACTTCATTACAGCCTTCACACACGAGCATCGATTGTTTTCGCAACCTTTCTTGCACTTACAATTAACAAACTCAAGAATGGAGTCGGGAGCTGGGGCAAGAGACATCCAGTTAATTGTGACATTTCCTTCTTCATCCAACTTCCAACCATGGTCACAAAAGTCTGGCAGACGTAATATTGGCTGCACAGCATGTCGCCAGATGTAGCATTGATAGTTAGCTCGACGTATATGGTTGTCAAGTGAATCTTGATTCGAGGGTAGTAACTCTTCATCGTATTTGCCGCCTTTAAACATTTCATACCGAACAGAATTAACATCAGACCTACCTTTGTGGAAGCCTATTAACGAGGAACACCATTGTTCTCCGATATGCTGTTTCGTCTTGTTGAGCGAGATGATTCGCCTTGCATTTCCTTTCCCAGTTTCAAAAAACAGATTAGCAATAATGTTGTTTATAGCATTCAGTGCAATAAGGAACACGTCTGTATCCAGACTCTTAACGATGACATTGGAATAAGACATTGCGTGAGCAATCATACGAGTATCTGCTTCCTCATGATCACAGGAAGTTCTTCGATTTCAGTGCAGCTCATATCGCCCAATAACTCGGTTAACTTATGACATTTGTCTTCGTGTGCGAGAAACACTTCAACGCCTTTCAGAGCCTGTGAATCTGCATTTCTCCAGGGGTGGAAGATAAATTTCATAATTTCTTCTTTGTTTTCTCCAGAGGCCATAAACAAGGAACTTGCTGTTGCTCGCTGTATATACGAATGACATTAGTTCCACCCAAAGCTCGCTTGTCCCTCTCCAAATTCTTGATGCTTTTTCTGGATATCTATCGCAGACGAAATCAACCAGACTGAAATTTAAAGAAACAGCAGTGTTGACGATCTTAGCCAGCAAATCCATTGCAAGTTCGCCAAATGTTGCTGGGAGAACTGTCAATGTTTGTAATATTGCCATGGCATCAAAAATATATGCTTTGTCTCCAACAGGAAGGTCAACTGAACCATCTTGTATTTCATCTTCAATCATTTTGAGCAATTTAGCTTTAACAGTCTTTACGAGGTCACCTTCATTTGTAGCCAATGGGTGTGGATACGGCCAGAGAGAATACGTCAACACTTCCTCCATCTCCAAATTGCGACTCTTGGTATCAGAAGCATTTTCGCAAAAAGCGCTTTTGAGTTTTTCAGGGCCACAATCTCATCTTTTTTACTTTTGCTATTGACCTTCTTACCAATAAGAGAGAATGTCTGTAACTGCGTCTTCTTTATCTTGGTGTAAATGTCAGGTTCTTCTCCTACAATATTGGACTCCATAAACTCAACTGCAGCACATTCGCCTTTCTCGAGCATGGTTTTCATATCACTGGTTACTGACACAGTAGCGACAGACCACTTGCTAAGTGCACCAACCCTTGGTATTCATTGTCAAAAGGGTTTATCATAGTCTGTACAGTCTGAATGACATTTGTAGCTGCTTTGTGGTCTGCTGCTATCCTTTTCTTGTCTAAATCTTTTCTCGACCTAGGTAAGCCATGCTTGAAAAAGTATACTCGTTCTGTCGTTGTACGGTCCAGTTATCTGCAATGTTAGCTGCCACATCTCCACAGGAATTATAGAAAAACATAAAAAGAGAACTCATTTAATTACTATATGGAAAATTAGTTTCAAGATTCAAAAGCAAATCTAATAATATAATTTAACGTATACGAGTAACACAAAATGAGTAGTGATCGTCACTTACAGGGGTGAGTTTTCTCTAAACACAACATTTCAAGCCAGTAGCATGGCGCGTATCTGGAGTAATTCACTCGATCCGTTGCAAAAAACCAGGGGATCATTGATCATTGAACTAAGGTGTAGTTCCCAATTTGATGTTCTCGTTGCTCTGATGTAGAGTAGGAGTAGTTGAACCATGTCAATATATTTGGACCAGAGGGCAAACATAGGATTCGCTTCGTTTTTCCACGAACGTATCATAAGCCCTTTTTGCATCATTGACCTGCTTACTCGTACAGATTTCAGTAAACGATTCTCTCTCAGAATCCTCCAGAACACTGATACCAACTGAGTCAAACTGGTTGGACGCAGAACTTGCTATGGACTTTTCAAATGCCTCAAATCGCATCCTTTGCATTGCTTCATAAATTAACTTGTGAACTCTTACAGAGCGATTATAATGCTTCCCAGATAACACACCTTTAACAGATCCAGGGGCAACTATCTCTGATTCGATCATGATATCCTAAAATATCAATTTGGAAAAATGCACACTGTTAATTGTACGTCGATCAATTTGCATTTGTCATTCAATAAATAAACGAACAAATATTTGGATTAGCTCAATAGATGATTTCATAGAAGGCGAACATACAAACAAACGCACAAACACACAAACTAATAAACAACAGGACGGATGGACAAATGAGGTATTAAAAAACCTACTTCCAGTCCTGTGTCTTTGAAAATTTTAGCTATGGCACTGCAGAACGACATAATGGTGTGGAAGTCTCCCAGCCTAATCACCAATCGATTCTTATATTCTTCGTTCTTCCACCTTCGCATCTGCGCTTTGGCATAGAGTGCTTCGTCAAATACCAGCACGATCTCTGGAAGTTGAAGGCGTTGGCATATAGAAACACTGTGCTTGAGTAAGGCATTAACTGTTGCCAAATCTGTGACTGGCGCATCGATCACCGGCAAGTAACCAATGTTTGTGACAGTTGGAATTTCTTTGTGAACTTGCGTATTGAGCCCGGTCCATCCTGGAAATAAGAGCCCACTCTCAGATGCATACTTACGTGATAATGTGTACACGAAATCAGCATTCCTGGCAAATTGCTGCTCATCTTGATAGCTTTTGTCGTCAATGGAAATGTCAGAACTCTGGCTTCATAAAGATATGGTTCCTTTTTCTCAGTTGGTGTAAGGTGCGATATACGTTTCTGGTGCTTGTACAGTACGGCACGACTTACTCACAGTGACATGATCTCCCAAGGTTGTGTTCCCGTTTTGCAACATAATTCCATTCGCCACATGGGTAGTTCCCTTTTCAGAGACAGTTTCTTCGTTGAAGTCGTTGTTATCCAAACAACTGTGGCAAATATGCCCGGGGTAATATTACGTGGAATAATGATATCTTGTCCTCTGCTGCTGGCAATGGCTAAAGCAGTATCGCGCTTGTAAACAGTAGCCACCGATGCTGTGTGTCCCAACCCATGCAAGATACGAAGCAATCGAACTGACCCAGTGATTTGGCGAACGGTCATTCCAAGAGCCAGTGACTTGTGGGTAAATTTCCTGCCTTTTGATTCCGCATAGATCAGGTCCTGCGCTATCGATACTAGTTTAGTTTGCTCGTTTCCACTAATTTGCACCCTTTCCTCACGAAGTGGTTGATCAGAGAACCCCATAGCCCATGCTAAGAAGTTGCATAACTTCACCGGAATTGATTTCCTGGCAGATTGCAAAGTTAGGTCATGGGAATCAGGGGGCCAGTCAGCATATATGCCTTTACTTTCTTGCAAAAGCTTTTTTATTTCCATTGCAACGGGAAAAAAATCTTGTAAAGAACAGCCATTAACCTGCGATGAAGTTTGGGTGATATCACTTAATGGATCGTCTACATTGAATTTGTCATCGTCATCTTGTGTATTGTTGCATATTTCCATCAAATCATCGGCCACTTTATCGAATCACATTATCTGCATAAACGAGAGTTTCTTTATTCATAGTTTTTGAGGTATGAAAAATGATTTGCGGATATCGCATTCCAATCCTGGTCTTACGTCTGGCAGCCTGGTAGGGTACGTCGATATGTTCTATTTCCTGCACACAGCTGATAAACGTTTTTAATTGGTAGCTAAGAAATAAAATCTTGTTTTTAATGATGCGTTGCTCAATTATTCATGTGCAGAATTCTTCAAAGGCTCTATCATACAAGGTCGGACCAGAATCTCTTGATTTATTTGAAACACATTTTGTATACCTCTGGTAACAATTTTTGTGATACCTTGCTTCTATAGCTACACAGTCCTTTCCACGAATATGCAAAAGTGTACTTTCATCATTTTTTAACGTTGCCGCCTTTTCCAAAATTCCAGCTGTTAACGTTTGTGCAACTGATAATTCTTGTTTTACATGGGTTTTTTTGTCGCCTATAAAGAATATATTTAGTGTATCAGATGATTAACTATATCATTGTGTATGATGCATAAGTATAAGTATAATGCAACATAAAAATAAAAAAATACCTTATCTGTAAAAAAGATTGGTCGCAGTTGTTTACAAATCAAGCAAGACTTGGGTAAAACACTTGACGATCCAGAAGCCGATGTAGCATGTGCAGTTGCAAAAGATTGTCTTGTAGTTTGGGGTACTTTTTCTGGTGTTGGTTTGACTTCTTCCTCCTTCTCGCTGGGGCTGTCACCTTGATGCTTTCTACCTGCATTACTCCATGTTTTTTTGGCCCTTTCAAACTTACTGATGTCAGTGAAATTGTGATAACATGCGTAATGATAGAGATAGTTTTTTCCAATGTCATTTACGTTCAAACTTTCTGGGATAAACTCAAACGACTTTTTTGCTACCTTCGTAAAATCTTTATATTCCGACGATAGACATAGCCACTGTTCCCTTCTTTCGACTATTTTATCTAGTGTTTCTTGTGTTAAATATTTAATTTGCCCTTCTTTTCCCTCAAAATGAATTACACAAATGCCGTCACTACAGTCACTGCGTTTATCCAGTTCGTGCCATCTTTATTTTCACTAAAAAACATCGATCTAAATCGTAACACGGTCATGAAATGGAAAGGCTGGGGACGAGATAAGAGGACTTAGCCGATGTTATACGAAATTCAAAATGGCGGGCGATGGCATGTTGTTTGTCGAATAAGTGAAAATATAAATGGCAATTAAAAAAATACTGCGGGTCTACGGAGCGGGAACTCTTCGGAATCGTGTTCAGTGTCTTCGAAAATAGTAAGTAATGTAAAAATATTTCAGTTCTAAGACATGCTAAATGAAAGTGAACGATATTATGCCTCGGCAAATGGCCTAAAGCTTTCTTACTTCATTTATTTCTATTTTATGTACATTTAGATTCAGAACTTGAATTAGTAGATCCTTTTAGTAGGTGCTAAAAATGTTATTATTTCTTTATTGAATTCTAATTCAGTGTGTCCAACCGAACGTAAAATATTTTCACGTTAAATTCTTAAAGCAATACAGAACAACAGGTGATGGTTGGGTTCACGTACAGATCCTGTTAGTTTATTGCGATCACACTTTACAATGCTAAGTTCAGCCTATCTATATTAAGTTACTGTCCGAGTGCTGTATACACAGAATATGTATTTCAATTACAGTCCAAGATATTCTGTTACTTGTAGTCTTTTGCTCACAGTTTCTTGTATATACATGTCTTTTGCCGCATCGGTCTTCCATCTTCCATGCAATTTTAATAGCCTCTCCGGCACTGTATTATTACTGTTCTGAACTACGGCAGTTATCCCGCCTGCTCTTAAACTATGTAAGCCATAATTCTTTGCATCATATCCTAGAGATTCTAAAGCTTGCTTGAAAATTTCTCTACACCTAGAGTAGGACAGCTCTGCTTTCCTTAGGACATATGTTGTGGATCGCTTTAGAAACGTTAGTGGGCGAAATATTGGCATATTGCTGTTGTAATCTATCTTTGCTGCTGCCATATACCTTAATATTAACATTTCTATTGGACAATACCGACTGCTAGACCTGGCTATGTATACAAATTGCCCTTCTCGATATATATCTGTCTTATATTTTGATGTGTTCCTTGAGGAATTCAATATGGTTCGCTTTGATGCTTCGCAACTTGTCGTATCGAAAGAATCCCGCAAACCCCAACGAACATAGCGCTGCTATCCTGAGTTCCTTTAAATTGTTCTGTCTTCCTCCGAACTTATCTATTATATCTTTTATTGCGTCCGGTGGTAACGGTTTCTTTTTTTGTATTGGGCGACTTGCTTGTCGTTTCGCAGCCGCTACAATGTTTTTTGCAAAAATCGTTGTCCAGCGAATTGGGGGTACTGCCTGGAGAAAGCCCATGGAGCCATTTTAGTGCAGCGCTCGTAACACAACTGATGAAGCTGAATTAACTTTTCACGATTTGGCGTGTATGTACATATCACAACATTTTCCCGGAATATACCGGAATATCACAATATTTTCCGATGGTAGCCATGCGACTGTTTATAAACATGGACGTCTGACAACATATTTTGTCGATATGTGATGGATCTTTCCCATTTTCACGGTAAGTAACAAACAACAACTCTATACTGGAAGTTTTATATGTTGTTTATATCATTATTACGAGTGTTCATCAAAGATTTTGAATCAATATGATTAATTCCTCCTGGATATAAAAAAATAGTAGCGGTGATAGCTTACCACGAAAAAACTGTTGCTCCGGATCCTCGCATTTTGTCCTTTTTGATTTCTGTTGTACTTTATTGGTTTCAATTTTCCGCTTACGACCCGCTGATTCTATTGCCTTGCGAAGGCACTTCTCGTCTTCAGAATTCGAAGCTAGGTCATCCGACTCATACAACTCTCCAGCCATCTTTACTTCTGTCCGCAATTTTTATTAGCTTTTGGCGCCGATGAATTAGAGCCTTAGCTTTGTCAACTAGGTTTGCTACACGCTCTTGATTATTCCGCTCGTTCGCTTTCGAAATATCTGTAAGAATCGCTTCGAGCTTGGCGTTGATTTCATATTGCTTTTGGTTTTCTTTGAACTTCAGCTTTATAACGTCCTTTTCAGCTTTCCCTTTTGATTCAATTTGCTTGCTTTTTTCTTCAATCTTATCTTCTGAGGTAGGATTTGAACATCGAGAATACCTCTTATACTGTCGAATTAGATTCAGAGACAGAGGCTAATATATTGTTGTCTTCTGCTTCGGCCATATTGCATGTTCACACTGTGGGAGTTTGAATATTTGTGTTTACCTTTGGAGTTTGTGTATAATCATGAAAATAGTTTATGCGGTATCACTCCCTCGAACTTGTTGCCGGAGTTGTTGTTGTCATTACGAGAAGTGCTTGGGGAAAGCTTTCCACTTGATGAATTCGAAACAAGTGTGATTGAGAATGTGGCTGCAGTTCCCGTCTTCCTGGCAATGCCAAGGGCGAAATTTTTGACCGTGCAAAAGCTGGATAAACAGCTTTTGCTCAAGCTTGTGCACGCTAATGGAGATTATTTTGGATGCTGTACATTATATAAACAAACAGAAGAAGAGTTCAAGAGATTGACAGTGACGAGACGCAAAGATTATATTCAACTTTTTTGTGTTATAAAAATGTATGTTTTGAAATTATGAACTGGAAGTATGAATTCATTGATATTACTCTCATGTTGACACTAAATGATGACATTCTCATATTGACACTATTAAATGATCTAATATTAACTTCAACAATTCTAGTGATGTTAGTTCATCATGTCTCTTCAAGACTGAGGACATTGCTAAATATATGCCTGTTTTGCTTTATATCAGAGCTCATCAGAATGCCCAGGAAACACTGATGAAATACTGATGAAATTTTGACTAACTTCCATCAATGAATCTATATTTTTTAACAGATTTATTGGGTTATATGGTAATACAAATAATTTATAAACAATTATTAACACCTATATACAGACATTAAAAGAGAACTCCAAGGGGATAAGCACAAATATGACTCAAAGCCTTATGCCCCCTGAAAATACTGAATATACTAAATATAATTACACTTTGTGACATGAACAGTTGAACAGTCAGGTAAGCACCATTTACATAAGAACCTGTTTAGACTAACTTGGAAAAAATATAGGTTCTTATATGCAGGATTTTACTGTGTTGTCTAATTTCATGTCACAAAACAGACCATGGCAGCCTGTTCTGACAACATATATTACGGGATGGTGCCACTCCTTGACACAAAATCAGCTTAAAGGCCCAGTGCACCATACCATGTGATCCAAAATACCACTGTTGATTGATGACTTTAATCAACGGCTCATAATACGCACAGATATGTAAATATGGCAGAAAGCTTTGATGAGAATGGCTCTGTTTTACAATGTGAAGATAGCGAATTTGCAATAGAATCATCCTTAGAAGAAGACGACAGTGGCTCAGTGACTCTAGCGAGGTAAATATATATTCTGCATTGAATATTTTCTAATAAAACCGTTTCCAAAGGAGCTACTAAATAGAACTGGACAAAAATATTTTCGACATTTTAAAGGTTGTTCCTGCCGCAGTGAATTGTTCATGCAAGTCTCAATGTATGTGCAAGCTAAAGACAGCTGCAAGTGGCAAAGTTATGGGTTGTGCATGTAAACATAATGGTGTGCAGTGTGGAGATAAATGTTCTTGTGTTTCTAGGAGTAAACCGTGTAAAAATCGGGTATGTACTCTATCACTAGCTAATATAACTACAATATACAATGAATTTCAATTATTGACTTGTGCGATGTTGGTTATGTATTGTCTATTGATTATTTATAATTCATTGCTTTAGGCACAACCACAGGGTCAAGCAGGGGCATCCACGGAAGCAGCACAACATGAGCGAAGTGAAGGAATTAAACAGAATGAAGTATCAGTTGAGGTAATTTTCCTTTTCATAATGTAGATTTTGCACGAGTAAACAACATAAAATTTTAACATATATGTACACTTGTGTAATGACTACATTCTACAATATGACTATTAAATCTTTGGATTGTTCTTTAGTTAGGGACTTGTCAGAAATTACCAGGGGGGAGGGAGGGGTGCAGAAAGGGGGAGGGTCTTTTTTTTCAGGCCTTCAAAAGGGTGGGTCATTAAAAACTGAACCATTCAAAAGGGAGGGTCATAAAATTTTAAGCCATAATTTTCATAAGGGATGGTCATAAAATTTAAGCCCTCATGATTCTAGACCAGATCACATTGATTATTGTATAAATAGGACAATATCTAAAACAGTGTTTTATAAACATGAGTTTATTCATTAAAGATATTACTGTCGATGCAATGGAAGTGTTGATAAAATATTGCACCAATTCCTTTCCTCAAGTTGATCAATTCATTTGATAGAATATTGATCAACTTCCTGTTACTTTTAGATGAGCCAATTAGATTTCGTTTCAGAACCGATTGACCGATAGGAAACGCACAGGAAGTAAAAAGAAATTTGAATTCATATATGAATTGATCAACTTGGGAAATGAATCCATGCAATATTTTATCAACACTTCCATTGCATCGACAGTAAAACAAAATATAATGTATGGTATGTATCATATGTATGGATTTTGCACAGCAGGAAAGGGGAGGGGTCATGAATTTTTTCACCACGGCCAAGGGAGAACCACGATATTTCATGCTCATCCTTGCTAGGGGGTCACAGTTTTCCATCCCCCCCCCCCTCCCCCTGGTAATTTCGGACAAGTCCCTTATGTGATAACTTAAACATTTGTACACAAAGCAGGGCTGCAAATAAATATTTGACTCGACAGGACATTTGTCCAATCACTTTTAATTTTCATCGGACATAACTTGAATTTGGTCGGACATATATACGTTGCATATATAGGTATATATATAGGTATATATAAGTCATATATTTTTCATCGGACATATATAGGTATATATAAGTCACAAGACAAGTATGTATAGCCATTCTGGCGCAACGTTAAGTAAAATGCTAGAATGCCTCGTAAGTTCTACTGCAAAATGTAAATTGAGTGAATTTGCAATCGGATTTTGTCAAAGCAAAAAAAATGCAAAAAAACATTTTTTGATCTGACCAATGTCCGATCAAAATTACTTTTGCTCGGACATTTGCCAAATTTAGTCGGACATTGTCCGATGTCCGACAGTAATTTGCAGCCCTGCAAAGTTATTTAAATATTTTCCCATTTTACTTCAAGATTCAATTATTTATGGTTTAACCCAGCATTAACAAAAATATAGCTTTTGAAACAAAGAAAGTTACATTTTATGAATTATGTATCTCATACCAGAGTTTGAATTTTTGCTCTTGTTAGGAAATAATTGATGGTTTAGACCAGCAGACTCTCATAAAAGTTGCAAAGGAGGGGTTTACATCTAGACCACTAGTGTTGAGAGACTAAGAGTAAATCCTGATGTTCCACATGACCCAGATGTTCCACATGACCCTGGCCATCCACGTCCACCATATAATGCACCGGTCCCATTTTGTGTATGCGGGTATTGTCGGGAGATGCCCACGGACAAAGAGAGGGTGTGCTGTAAAGAAAAACGCCTGTGTCGAAGTAGGTCTCTGGCATTTCAGAATATTTGCTTGGATTCTGACAATCTGGCTACAGCTATTAGGAGTCTAGCAGATACATATGTATTCACACCAATATACAACAACCGAGCAATTCTGAGACATTCTGCGTATAGACAATATGTCATGTGGATACATGGACATCTGGGGAAGGGTAATCGCAAGGTCATTCCCTGCTGCTGTGTATGGAGAATAAGAAAGCATATTATCCGTCACCTAATGGACAATATACTGGCTACAAAAATACATAAACATTTCAATGTAACTTCCAAAATATGACTTTGCTATAGTATTTTGTAAAGACTGAAATTAACACTTGCTTAAACAGCACTAAGGGATGGATCATGTGATTTTGACAAGGGGGGGGGGGCAATTTTTGTCGCATGTTATTTTTTTCTTCGCGCAAGGATGTACAGGATATGCAGGATATTTTTTCGACATAACTCCCCCTTCCTTTTAACTGAAATTTTCCTTTGCAAGATTTTTTTTCTTGGTTAAACCTTTGCTCGAATTTTTTTTCTGTATTTCCCAACCTCCCTCTCAAAAATCAAATGGTCCGTCCCTAAGTGTACAGTACTTAATATGAAATATGTGAAATATGTTCCTTTACGAGCTCTGAAGTGGGTGGAGGAGGAAGACTTGCAATTGTGCCAGTGACTTTTTTGGGGTCTTGTGCCGATTGTACAGACTTTACATGTTTCTTCAATGTCTCGCTGGCTTCTTTCAGTACACAAGCCGCCATGACAGGAAGGTAACTAAAATTCTTCTTCTCTTTGATGATAACAACCTTCCATCTTTTAGCACGCTTTTGCTCCATCTCCTAGAGTACACCAACTCTCCTTTACTATTACGCGCTTGCTTGCGATGAAGATGGTGATTGTGGTCGATAGCAGCAAGGATGCTGCGAGCTTTCAAACCCTCGTATCTATAAACATAAATTCACTGTATGAATATAGGTTTATAAAAAATGTATTCTGGTATAAAATGACTGTAATTGCTATACAAAGTAGGCAAGTGGTTACAAACATGATAATACAACATAATTTGTTGCTGTTCAATACTTATGAGAAACCATAGCGTTTGGGGGCATACATCAATCTGTGACTGTGATATGCCTCCAACTTTCCTGTGTGCCTGTAATTAGAAACAATCAGAATAGCAACCCATGTTGTTTACTCTGTCTAGCACCAAATGATTTTACTCATCAAGCCCAATGATCAAGGAGGATAAATATTACTTACAAGACTATCCTCTTAACAAGTGAAATTAGCCAGTGTTTGGCAGTGTAATATAGCAAGGTACACATAGGACATACTGTATAGGGGTGGATTGAAACTGTCAATAGGGTAATCACATAGTATAGTGTAAAATGTTATATGTATTTGGAAAATTAATAA